TAGATATGTCTTCAAAAAATGCTCATCAACCTTCCAGGAACTTTCTTTTTTCTTCCTTGAGTGTGGATAGCAGTGGGGTTTTATGGCTGTCTCGATGAAAAAGCCTCCTGCTGGTTTTGCAGGTGAAAGATCTTGCCAGGATATAAAGACAAGAGGAGGTGTAACATCTATCCCTAATAACTCCAACTGGACAGGAACAGAGTTATACAACTACTGCTAGAATAAAAATCTTAGTAAAGAATGAATCTTAGTAATGAATAAAACAGGAAAACTAGCCCCCTCTACAATACCAATGTTTGATAAATTTCTCCCCTTTTCTGTTGAGGGTATTTAAATGAAAATACATTATGAGACTAGGTTTCCTAAGAAACTATTTTTAGGCTTTGGATAACAACGTTATTATTGGGGTAACAACATTATTATTGGTTGTGCTGTTTACAACATTATTATTGATTGTGCTGTTTTTGTCATTAATGTTCACCTTTGTTTTTGTCATTAATATTCACCTGTAGCAATTGGCACTATCAAGTTGTGGTATTCTGCAAATACTTCTGTGGAGTTGACAACTGTGTGAGATCATCAGGCCCAGGGACGTTCAAGTGCTCTGCTCAAGGACAGGAACATCTTCAGTCACGTCCTGCAAAGCAGATGCGCTCTGTAGTGCGTGGCAGAGTCCTCTCTATACCACAGACTCTTCACAAAGGGGCCAGCAAAGATGCGGACAAGCAAAGGTCTGACCTGATGCAGAAGAGCTGCCACTGGGATGGTTCTTTCGAACAGAGGAAACCCAGCGTCCTGCCATTAAATCATGCAGACACATGCCAAGCCTAGCAAGTGTCCAGTAATGGGCTGCTGGGATGGTGCTGAGATGCACAAAAGCGTTGGAGACCTCAGAGTGACACAACCAGACCGAGCACTGTGCTGAAGTCACATGTTTATTCACCCACACTGGGAAAACATTGTGAAAATCATCTGTCACTTGATCCAAGTGTTCAGGATTCATTACTACCCACTTCTTTCCATATTTAGCACAGACATTTAGGAAGACAAGATGTACAGTATGTCAAAATGTATACAATATATCATTACTAAAAGGGAAGGGGTGCTGTTGTGTGAAGGAATAGCCACTGGATTTTGGCTAGGACTGATTCAGTGATGTATTTTTTTTCTGGGCTGATTTTCACCAGCTGTCCAATTCCAACACATTGTCAGCAAATCTTTTTTTGGCTACAACCAGGCTATTGCTCTTTCAAGTGGCAACACACCTGAACTGGAAAACAAAATCTGAATAAAACAAAGACTGAGTTCAAGCGAGATCACACCTCAGCTGGAATGAACCACTTGATACATCACATAGCTCTACTTTGAACTTTGGTCTCAGACAGATCCCTACAGTAGGCCCAAGATCATACGTGTACTTAAGAGAAAAGGGGATGACTTTTGCATCCACTCTAAGCTTGAGTTTATTTCTGCCTGGGTGCTTTTTTCAGCTTTGTGACTTCTAGATCATATAGAGAATGCTGAAGTGTTTTTCTTCTCCGTTCCCCAGATCTAGATGTTCAACACAGGCAGGAAATACCCTTGCCTTCCCTTTGTATGCTGTCCTGTAGTTTGGTCATTCACGAACTCATGCACACACCTGTAACCATTCCCAAACAGCCCGTGCCTCGTGGGAATAAGCCTGCACACAGATACATGAACTAGCAGGAACAAACCCCGTACAACAGCAGCACATATCAGGATTCTGCAGATTTGAGACATTCAACATTTGCAGAAACAGTACTAGCAACTTGGTAAACTGAGAGAAGAAAGGAAAAGTCAAGGACATTCTATAGAGAGTGAACAGAAAATAGGAAAGCAGTAATTTAGCTCCTTACAGGCAGCGCTACCTGCTGTTGCGCCCGCTGGGCAGCTGACATGCCCATTAACCACTGGGAATCACGCTCTGCCCACGCATGATAAAAGAGGAACTGTTTGCTAGTTCAGGGTGGCTGAGTAACCCCTCCTGACAAAGTCCACACTGAAGATCCTCCCGAGTTCTCTGCTGGCTCTGGTGGAGCGTGTTGTGAAGTGGGGCACAAAGGGATTCCTTCATGCCACTACCTCAGAACCATCACAACTTTTGAGACTAATACAAAACCCCTTTGATGAGAAGAAAAATAAATGCCATGCAAGATGAGTATCTATCACGATACTTACCCTGCAATGCTGGCAGGGGATGTAACCCAGCTCCACTGACAAAGCAATTGTCATTGCATTACCCATTGTAAACAACACATATATTTACTCAGGGTACTAGAACAGAACGACATGCATGCTTGATATTGAAGAAAAGCCTGTTTGTGCCTGTTATACTGTACAAGTTTATACAAGTTTGTACAAGATTAATTCTTAAAAACTAGTTGTATTTCTTAGATTCTTACAATCTTTTACTCTGAAATGAATGAGACGGCTTGTAGGGTATGCCGCCTGATTTGGTCCCACCTGAGCATTTTCAAAGACGGAAACTCGAGTTATCACTTAGCTGAGGAAAGAGGAGGAACCATTGATACATAGGTCTGGAGGTACTTAAAGCAGTATCCAAATCTCTGCTTTGCACTGGTTCTCTATGGTGTGTACCCTCCCGGGTCTTACTGCAGCAATGCCATGCTACAGTGGAAGCTAAGGCAGAAACAAGTGGTCCGCTGTGTTACGCAGGAAACAATCCATGCCCGAGAGGAGACAGTTCTAGTAATTTTTTATTTCCCAGGCTGTAATTCTGCAACTCACCCACTTAAATTAAACACAAATCAATCACAGGATGTCCTAAAAGTGTCTCAGAAAGAAACCCTTGCTATTAACAGGACAGAGGTGACACATCAAATACACGACAGTTATAATAAACCCAGCATTCGTTATTACCCGTCACGTACGTTCCCCCTGCCCTGACACTCCTGTCGATAAACCACCCTGTCTGACCATTGATGAAAATAGTATTTGTTTTGTACCTGCACAGCAACACAGGGAAGCTCTTCCCCAGTTGAGATGAGGGCACTTTCTCCCCTTCAAGAAACTTTCAGAACATTCCTTTCTGCAAATGGGACAGGGTAGTGTCTGTCCTACTGCTTTTAGCTGAAACCGGTTTTAGAGTTTTGATCTGCATGTATGGAGACAGGCAAGCTCAGTGTTACCCACCCATGCAACCTCCACTGTATGTTACTCGCAATAGTGAAGAGCAAGCACCATGAAGAACCTGGCAGTGGTGAAATGTCCTCATACTGTGAAGTCCATCAGAAGGCAGAAAAAGTCTCTTTCTCAAATGCATTTAGATACCTGCCACAGCACAGAAGGTGCTTAACTGTTTGTCGTTTCAATTTCTTCAACCAATACTGTGATAAGCTTCAGGTGGTGACAAATGCCTGACACCAAGCTACTTCTTGGTGATAGAACTGTCCTCTTCCTTAGATAGACTCTGCAAGCGAAACAGTGTTTACCCACATGCTCCACCATTCCATGGAAGAGGAATGCAGCTGCACCACACCCAGTGGTTGGGTAGACAGGGTGCTGTTGGAGGCACTCGGGAACAACAGTCAGTGGAGAGTTTATGGTGCCCAGCACCTTGAAAGAGCACAGAAGATAAAGGCACGAAAATCAAATCAAATCATTCTTGAAGTAGTTTTCTGCTCAGAAAAGCACCTGGTCATTTTGTGGATAAATACTTTTCTCACTTTTAAAGACAAAAATGTGAGTATTTTTCCAGTTCTATAAAGAACATTCACGTTAATAGCAAAACTATTAAATATCCTACACATGGTACTACGCTAGAGGCCAGATACTCTGGCCAGAATTCTACGATGCTGTAACTTGCACTCCTTATCATGAAGCGGGGAATCACCATGGGTGCAGAATTTGACCCTTATGTCCTCACAACACCCCTGTGAGGTAGATAGGTACCACGACATCTTCTTCAAGAGGGGAAACTGAGGCAAAAAGAGGTGAACTGACTTGAATGAGGCTGCACAGCAAGTCTGGGAGCAGAACTCAGGTCATGCCCACAGATCTCTCCTCTGTAGCACGCTGCCTTATCTCCCACCCAACTTCATCTCCAGGGCTGAATGAAAAGCATTCACGTACCGCTGACAAAGTACACCTAGTCCAACACCAACCCTTCTGTAGACTGCTTCTGCTTCAGAAATTATATAAACAGGTGCTACAAAATGCTTTTCTCACAGGACCTGAATTGTGAAGTACACAAGACAACTCCCATTGCTGTCAGCCAGCACAAGCCCCTAAACTTTTACAATGCCTTCAATCAGCACCTTTCTCATGCCTTGTCTCCACTCCAAAATTCCAGAGTTAATTAATAAGGCACATCAGGAGCTAATCCAGGCACCTTCACAATAGATGCGAAGTCCTACAGGCCACTGTGCATTTCCAGGCTGGCACTAACACCACACGGGTTGGCATGTAAAACCACATCCTGTGGCCGAGAGAGGGAAAGGCTCCTGTCCCTGCCAGTGCCACAGTGCAAGAAACACAAAGCCAGCCTTAAACCATCATTGCCCAAGACATCAGCTGAATCATGACCAGCATGGAATTATGTTATCTCAACCCTCAATAAGAGCATCTAAACACAGTGAGAGTTGGGAGTGAAAACAAGGCAATGGAAAATGTGTTGGATGTTGACTTGGAAGGATTCCACCACACGGTTGAGGCCCGACTAAAACATAACACAACATAACAAAAAATAAGGTGACATAACATAACAACATAACATAACCCTTCTTTCACTAGACAAGTGACAACAGGGATTTCCCTGTACAGCTGCTGACTTGTGGATATAAGTACTAGTTAATGCATTTTCAGCCCCTGCCTGAGTGCAGTGTTTAATGCTAATGATTTACAAGTACATATCAGTGATATGATAGTTCAAAGCACTTGATACAACAGCCTGCCCTCTCTTTATTTAAAGTTCAATAAATTCTAAATCTTGACATTGGTTGGAGGTCATACTTATGATCCAGACACAAGACTAGAATAAATTTGAGTTGTTTCATGCCTGAACTGATTTGTGACTCCCAGAAGGTAGCAAACACTTGACACTGGATCTGAAGTGGTGATGAGACTCTGTATAGGGCTTCGGGCAATAGGGAGTAGTATTAAGGGTCCTTTACTTATTTAACACATGAATTCTTCACTGCTCACTGGTTAGCCGTGCTGTTTGCCCAGGTTGGGAATGTGTCCAGCTCAAACATAGATCTTCCCCATGTGTTGATGGCCAGTGTGACACAGAAGACTCCAATGATGTTCATCACTATTCCAGATCTAACCTGTGAGGACAAAAGTCCAAACCAACAATAAACAAACAACAGCCTATTTGTACATACACAAGATAGACACATGGTCAAATAAATCACAGAAATAGCCATTGTACCCACTGCCCTATGTTCTTGCTTAGGTGGAAATACCAGGGAACACACTGTGCAAAGCCTTTGAACACTTTGCTATATAACTAGTCTAGGAGCTTTAAGGCATGTACAACAAGTTGTTCTTATTAGTTAAAGAACAGCTCCTGCCCCCTTCAAGTCTCCAGATAGAAAACCAATAAAGTTTGGGTGTTTGGGACAGAACCTGGCACTGCGTGGTCTGGAAGACAATCAGAGGACCAGAGCCTAGGGCAACTGATTGTTACCTTCTGCTTTCAGCTCCAGTGGAAAGGCTTCAGCTATACTCGCCAAAGCCCCAGAAGACCGGAAAGCACTGATTGCATTTTAGCTCTTCAGTGTTTAAGAGACTTAAGACTTCTCAGTTTCTAATTTCAATTGGGCTGGGCTGTATGTCTGCCAAAGCCTGTGAGAAAGGTACTGTTACTTCAGAGATGCAAAACTTTATTGCAGTATTAACACTGCATAAGAGAGGGGCATGGGGTGGTAGTTACAGCCTACAAGAGCTTCCTGGTACTTTGGAAATACTCAGCTAAGAAAATTAAACTCTCACCATATTTCAGGATAAAGGTAATGGAGAGCTTCAGATAAAAGACCAGGTAATTATCATCTTACCATATCCAGAACACGTATGTGCCCATAGGAAAACACTATCGCATTGGGTGGTGTTGCAACAGGTAGCATGAAGGCAAAGGAAGCACTGAGAGTACAAGGCAGCATAACGTACAAAGGATGGATCTTGACAGATGCAGCCTGCAATGAAACGGAGAGAATGGCGTTCCAAAAGAAAAGCATAAAGACCATTTCCCAGACCATTGAGACATAGACGCTCATTTTGTTTCCTAGTATATCACCAGAGTAATTTACAAGCGTTTTATTCTGAAATCCACACGTGCTTAAAGATAACTTCGCTCTTGTTTCCTGTCCCATGATACTTAAAAACAATGCTCGATTCTTTCTTGTTGTTTATTTTGCTCTGTGGTATAATTTGGAGTTCTGGTCAAATTTATCCAACGATCTTTTCTTTGACCTTGGACCACACTTTTGCCAGGGTAACACAGGAATGAGATTATAATTACTAGGTATGTGGAGTAACACTCTTAGACATTACATAAACTCTGTGGGACTCAGAACTTAGGTGCCAATTTAAGGCACTAACAGCTCAGCACCTTCACTGGGATAATTTTACTTCGATGAAATGGTCTAGAATAAAGTGGTTGTACTTTCTAAATTAAAGAACAAAGTAACCTATTTTTTCCTTTACGCTACAATTTCAATTCTGCTCAGAAAAGGCAGCAAAACTTACCAGGTATTCCTCTATAAGTTTTAAAATTGTTCTGGCTTCCTATGGAAAATGACACATTTCTAATAACCAGGCCCACCACTTTCTGTATTCTAGCATAAAACCATGAAGATGAAGGAACCATTCGAAGGGATAATAGAAAGTGCTGGATTTTATTTTGTTTTGCGTTTTTTGTGTGTGTGTGTGTTTTTCCTGTTCTGAGTTGATGCTTCAGATACAAAATGACCAGAAGTAACTGATGTTTGTTGACCTGTATTAAAAAAGTGACTCTCACTTCACTTTCTCCAGGGCCGAGGGACACACATTCCAGGAGGTTTGAACTGGCTTCCTTTTCAATGAGGGTGCCACGGAATAGGCATCTGGAATTAGCTTCTTCCCCCAAGAAGCTGGTTCTCAGGCTCCAAGCATAGAGGGAGGGCAGACTGGAGACAGTTTGCATTCCCACTTTCTATCTACATGTGATGATATAAACATAGCAGTGAACACTAGCTAAAATCGCAGTCCCTTATGGTATACTGTCAGATGGACTGTTTCATTACTGGCTTTAGATCAACATTGGAGCAACATTCAAGAAAATAAATATGATATTGCTTTGCCACTAGAGACTGTCAGTTTAACTCTGACCTCCCCGTTGATAGGGTAAGGATGGAAGTAATCTTACCATGGATGAAAAGACAGGTAGGAAGAGTGTGGCTGTGGCGACATTACTGGTGCATTCGGTGAAGACAGCTATAATAAGTGAAAGTACTGTTGCAATGGCCCACGGTGGGATAGATCCTAGTGGAATCATTTGATGACCCAGCCAAGCTGAGAGCCCAGAGTTCTGACAAGAAAAAAAAAGTGGCTTTCAGTGAGGCTTAGAACGCCTAGCTCATGAACAGGGAACTTATGTTATGTGTAGTGTTCCTACCAAATAATGCTAAATGACTCCTGAATTATAGAAACACCATCTGGGAAAGTACAATGATCAGTATATTGCCTGGCAACAGCCACTGACAAGAAGTTCAAGAAACACCACTGTACACAATTTTGGAAGATATCTACCCACAATGATTTTCTTCCTGACAACTTCAGTAGTGGTTTGGGTTAAAAATGAAGAAATACATCCTTTAAACAAATCTCAAATGGTTCTGAAAATCTTACAAGTGTTATCTATACTTCTGTTTTTCTAGCCAGGGCTGGGATCGGGATGATAACAGAAATGAGAAAGGCTGCTTTTCTGGTCTGTCCAGTGAAGATCCCAAACTACTCGGCAGCCTCCAAGAGGTAAGATAAATTGAAGAAATTTGGTCAGAGCACACAAATTCCTGAAAAAGAGACACAAACATTCACCTCTCCTCCCAGTTTTTGCTAATTTGGATCTGCCTCCAGATCTGAACATCTCTACTGGGTTTAACCTTTGGGTGCATGCCCAGTAATACAGGACCAGATAACAAACCAGAGAAGTTCGCCTTTGAGTCAGAGAAAAAGAGATGTCAGGACATACTGCGCTTGCATCAGCCAAAGCAAAACCTCCTCCCAGCAGCAGCACAATGCTCCAGGGCATCTTCCTCTGAACCACGTTCCAGTCGAGCAGCGGGGCTGATAAAAATGGCTTTTTTATATCTGAAGTGAGAAATGAAAAGCAGAACATGTTTTAGGAGAATGAAGCCATTTTGTCTCCTGTTCTGTAAGACACTAAGGGAAGACCCAACAGGCAGATGAGTATTACTGAGAAACCTGCACACAGCAAGGCTAATACACGTGAGCAGGGACCATGCCGCAGCCCTGCCCAAGAAGCGAGGGAGGTGAGCTATCCTGAAGAACTGCACGCAATTCCAGTGCACATTTCTGCCATGTTAGCTGGAGCTGTCTAACTGCTTCCCAATGTTACAATTCCTCTTTTAAATACCTTCTTCAGTCTGTTCAGGGTCCGACGTGCTTGCATTCCAGCCTGTGAATTTGGGTTTATGAGCAGGAAGGATAAACAGTAGCAGGGCAACAAACACAGCAGGAGCAGAATCAGTGATATACCTAAATAAGAAAAGAGAATATAGCTCAGAAAACAGACATCTTTCTCCTAGAAGATGGCTGCCTTCCAGCATTGCAGTCACGGCTCTTTGTCATCCTGTTTGGGGCTTGTACATTAGCAAAATGGGTCATTAGTTCATGACCAAGGTCTCTTAGACCTGCCACAACACAAACACAGGAATAAAATAAAGGAGCTACAATATGCATTAATAACCAGTCACAGATGACAATGGCTCCTGGGAGCAGGGTTCCTTCTCTGTGGTGAAGCCAAGATTCAACAATGGCATCTCAAAGAAAGATGTGTAAAGAAATGGCCCAAATGATAGTCCCATTGTGCATGCTATGTTCTCAGTATGCCACAGGCATTATGTGAAGAAGCCATTCAAAGCATCAAATCAATCTCCCAGTGAGTTCTAAGGTATTGTTTAGAGGTGATATTACCAAATATTTAAATGACACCGCAACTGATTTGAGCTCATACAAACAAAATACTAATGTGTACACCAGTGTGACTGAGATCAGCATTACAGAATTTTCTCTTCTTTTAGGAGGTTCAGCTTGCTCCATGTCCCAGTCTCCAGCCTTCATCGCAGTACAAACTGTCAAACAATAGATCAGTTGGTGATCTCACCCACAAGCGACAGGATTAAGCCCAGCAAACATGTGAATTCAGATAAGGTTAGAATGAATAACTGCACTCAAAATTGAATGTAATAGCAAGGGAATCTGATTCTCGACCAAGAGGGTACACGATAAAAAACCCTAAAAACTTACTTTTCTCCTCTTGGGAAAAGCCTGGTGGCCCAGCCTTTTACAAAGCCTGGGTGTCTGGAAAACCACAAGACAACCAGCAAAACAAACATTAGGAGGACATTGAATTCAGCGTACGAGATAGGGCCTAATTTCTTCACTTCTGCCTTCAGCACATTGTATGCAGCTTTTTCTTTAGCAGTTCTCTCTGTCCCACAGCCCCAGCTTTTTTTAAAGCTTTAAGGAAAAAGGAGAAGAAAATACTGTATTAGGAGAAGAAAATACTGTAAGTATTAACATATTAGAAGGATTTAACATGCTTGCCACTCTGAAGCTGTCACTCTTGGGGACAAACAGAGACTACAGCAGAGACCAGGAACAAAGAAATGGCAACAGTGTCAAAGCATTTAATGGGGACATGCCAGTTCTCACAGAAGAATGGGGTCTACGAATGGAAGTAGGTATCTGTCCAATTTGGAGCAACCTGGGATGAAAAACCCAGTTTTGAATCAAGCGTAGCAAAACAGATAAGCTAGCTCTGCTAAGGTTGAAATTCTCAGATGTGAAATTGAAAAATAAAAAGGCAATTCTGTCTGCTCGTTAAGAATGTATAGAGCTTTTGCCTTAGTGCAACTCCACGAACACAAAAGGTTTCTAGACCTCAAGAGCTGCTGTGAAATGGAACTGCTCTCTGCTACAAAATCAGTAATTTGTCTGTCCATGTGTTTTATCCAGATTTCTCAATAGGCTGATCTGCATTAGCTGAGGAATTTACACAATGTCATGTAGTTAAATACTCACTTGAGTCCAATGAAGGAGCACTGTAGCCAAAACCAAGCTAGTACCAACATCAGAATCATGTTTGGAAATGCAAACCCAAACCAGGAAGCAAAATTCACAATATCATTATTGTTGGGGTATAACCTGAAAAGAAAAGAAAAATGCTTTCTGTATGAATGTCAAAACATTTAGTAATCTGCTCTCCCTTCAATATGCACTACTGACAATTATACTTGTAAATGTAGAACAACCATTGCAAGTAATCGTAGGAAACATCCATAGCCTAACTGAAGTCAATAGGAAGGCAGCCTGGATTTCAGAGCAGCACTTACATGATCCTCTGTTTTCCCTATATATTACTTTAATGCATATAGAAGCTCGTGTTGATATTTTAGGTCTTAGTAAGACAGGCGCTGCTGAAAGGTCACTTGCAACATGACCGCTTGTTTATTCCAAGACAGGACGTTCTTTCTTCCTCCCCATTCATTCTGAGAGCAAGAATTGTCTTTCCTGAAATTAATAGCTGCACTTCTGCTCAATAGGAGACAAAAATGCTAGTTGGCTTAAAAGAACAAAGCCAGTGTTTTAAGAACAGCCATTTTTGTTCTTCCCTTTGTCCACCAATAATGGCTGCAGGAAAAATACCAATAGCAAATTTCCAGCTGGGTGTTAAAACCAACAGGTAATGTGGCAGCTGAGGCTGAAGCACACCCAACAGAAGAAAGCAATGTTGAGGGACTGTTGTGGAGCCTGCAAAATTTCCACTGTAGATTAGGTTTCATTTAAATCAATTCCCAAACTGAGTTTAGCAGAGAGAGTATTTTGTGGATAAGTCCCTTCCCTTACAACAGTATCTGTACAGTTTCCACAGCCACAGCATGGAGGAACAATATAGGAGAGCCTAAGCTAATTTTAGCTCTCTGCAGTGCGCTTATGAGAAGAGTTAGTTGTACGTTCTTCTGATGCTCTTCACTGCAGTTCCTCTGCTAATGTGATGCATTTCAGTTGAAAAAGAGGTGGCAGAAGAACCATTATCTCATGATCAACCAGCTGTCTGCCGATTACCAGCAAGTATTTCCAAGTTTCTCAGGAGACCTATAATACCAGCACATAGCTGCCTAGAAAAGGCTGAGGCAGAAAAATGAGGCCCATCACTTCATACACATTCCTCACTCTCGGTTCATGAACTGATTATTGCTTACAGTTTGCAACTGAAACTGTCATCCAAGACTAATCAGTTGGTCACACAAACACTAAGATAACATAAGTAAAAGAAACAGCATGAATGACTTACTGATTCATCTGGCCTTTCAATACGATGTTTGGTCCTGTTCCAGTGAGTGTTGCAGTTCCTCCAATACTGGCAGCATAGCATACACAAAGTGTCATTCCCTTACATATACGTTTCCTCGTTTTCTTTTCCTCAGAAGATCTGGGGTCATCAGGGACTTGTCCATTGCTTATGACTAGACACAAAGAACATGACTTGCCTCAGGTAAAGTTAGGGAAGCGGAGAGTTCAGGGTCTGCAGGCTCAGTGCTTCCAGTCTGTGTATGCCATTTATTTTAATTCAAAGAAAACACAGATATGTTCCTACATGCTCTGGACTCATGTTCATGAGGAGCTGAAGAGAGAGGTTGACAATCTGGGTCTACACGATCCAAGGATGCTGTTGTCCATATTGGTGCCACAGTTTCTGAGCAGCAAGTTCTTGTTTCACACAGAGGCTTTCCACCAGCCAGATATTGTAGTCACTGGAACCATTCCAATACCACAGTAAGAACCCAACTAGCTTTAACAGCTGTGAATACAGGCAGGAAAAAAACCCCACCCAAACCCGAATTCTTTCCTGGCATAACTGTTAAGATCAATATGTTACATCAGTTTACATCAGTTGTGAAATTTTGCTGCTATGTCCATTGTTCTCTGAGGTTAACAGTCTAATCTTGAAGTCTGACTGGACTAATGGAGCAGGAAAATGAATGTATGGAAACTACAACCAATTCAACAATACCAAAGGGTATTTTTTGCACACATTTATAACCTTCACTACCCATTAAAATATATTAGCCGGCAAAGCCAAGCAGATCCTTTTAAGTAGACAGAAAACCAGCAAAATTATTATTACTGGTCTTACAGCAGAAGTCCAGTTTTGGGAGTCAAGAACCAACATTAAGAAGAGCATTTGCAAATATGAAAACTTATCTTTAATACAACTGTTTGGAAGCTAGAAATGAGCAACCTTACAGAGCACTCTGTGACCACGTGGCATTCTTGCGGGCTTGTGCTTCTTACATAAAAATGGTAGCTGAGCTTTGCACAATCATAGTGCATTCTCCCTTCAAAAGTGAAGAAACGAAGCAACCAAAAAGCAGAGATCACAGTTTTATCTAAACTACACCTCCAAGATTCAAATAAATACGGTAGTTATGAGTCAGTCTCATAAGAGGGCAATGTTTGGCACACATAAACAGTCTTCTTCTATACTGTGTCTTCCATGGACATTTAAGCCAGAAAATGGGCATGTTGTGTCCCAGGCAGAAGGATTGCAGTGTGGGACACAGTATGCACTACCAACATTTGCACTTGTTCTTGCACACAGTAACACAGAAGAGGATCGTGGCAGTTCAATTTGCTAATTCAGGGAAAACACATCTCCATGAAAATCCTCAAGACAATCCTTCCTCCTCTGAAAGAGAAAGGGACGGCAGATCTGATCTTTAATGGTATTGAATAATATAGCCCTCTGTAGCAGCAGAGCAGTGAAATCAGAGGGACTGAGTTTTTGCGCGTCATTCAAGTCAAGTGAAACCTACTGCAGAACCACAGCATCGACAGAAGGACCTTGTGGAGTCAAGCATCAGGGTAAGATCACACTTTAAAGTGTTCCAAAGAGTAGTTTGCCTACTGTGAGTCAAATGACACTGGCTCCTATTTCCCATGTAGCTTCTAAAGTATTCCTCTTTCTTCTCCCCACTTCCACAAACGGTCTGATCGATAAAGAGATATTTATTACCCCAGAACCAAAATAGGTTGTATTTGCACAAAATTTTTCAAACATTCCTAAGTGGCTTAGAAGCTGAATCCCCACTCATAATCACAAGATTTAGAAAGTGGGATGCTGGGGGCTTGGACGATATTTCTCATAGGATATGCTTTTCAATTCCCTAGGCAGGCAGTTAAGTCCAAGAAAACTATGGGAGAATGACCCCAGCTCGAAGGAAAGAACATAACAATCTGCATGGGATTTAGCACTAAGCGTAACAAAACGGCAGCCACCAAAATTGGAGGCCATTTTGTAAAACCTAAATGTCATGCATTTAGGGATTTTCAGTCAGGTTACCACCCTCTTTCCTTGGAAAAGGTACGGAGAACTCCTTCTAGGTCAGGGAGCTCTGAGTGTATCACGTTCCGTAGGATCAACTCACTGCTGAGTAGGGCCTTACCATGCACTGAAGTGGGATCTGATGCATTCTTTTCCTCCAGCTCAATCACTGTATTTGTTTGCCCAGTTGCTTGTTCCATCATGGTCATATCATACTCTGTGTTGTCCATTTGATCCAGGACAGCCTGGACAATGGGAACCATCATAGCAGTGGTGGCTGTGTTACTTATCCACATGGACAGGAAGGCAGTGACTATCATAAATCCCAGCATGAGGCTAAAGGGAGAAGCAGGCAGAGGAGAAAGGATTAAAGAAAACAGGCACTGCTAGTCTTTGTAGTCACTGTAATTTAGGCAGCAGAGCCCAGGCAGGGATGTGTGTAGTGTCCAGTAATACACAGCAGGGCCAGATTCCCTTCTAGGACAGCTCTGCCACCTTCACTGAAGGAATCCCAGAAAGCCATTAGGTCCTTAGTCTGTGCATGATTAAGTCTGTCATCATTTTGTCCCCAGTGGCAAGCATCTAGAATTTAGCCAGGTGCTGGTTCTGGCTAAAGAAAAATAAACTGTTCCTGCTTCCAGACTCCACCTCTGGAAACTCTGTAAAAATGCAGCTAAAGCGATTCTTGAAGGTTCCCTTCTCTGCTGACTGTTAAACACTATCCCTAGGCCTCTGCTGAATTGACACAGGCAAGGACGAAGTAATGTAATACTCTTACAGTGCAGGTTTCACCCCAAGAATCAGCAGGACCCTCAGCGCAATCCTTTTGTGAAGATTCCACTGTTCAACAGAAATTGCAACAATCAGCCCTCCAATGAAAAGCATGTTTGTGTCATTTAGGTACTGCAAGCACACCTGAAAGACAGAGAAGGTAGGTCAGGGACCCAAATGTCGCTTCTTGTTAGCTTCAATAGTACATGTGGCATTCCATCCTCTCAAAGCCATTTACTGCACCAGGTCCCATCCCAACGTTGGCAGAAGGAGCAGTTGCAGCCTCAGAGGCACCTCCAGTTTCTTGGACCCTTGATCCCCTGTTCCAAGTGCTGAACTGTCTAGTGCAGGGGCTCTCTGTGCATCATGAACCTTCTTTTTGATTCATTAGGAGTTAGTAAAGTACAAAATGGCAGCAGTTACCTAAAACATTGTTAGGGGCTCAAAGTATTGTATAGGCACTACAAATGCTGAGCTCCAAAATGGATTTCGCAGCACCTTTAGCAACCATACCTGTCCTTACGTGCTTGTTGGCCAGTAGTGAACCTGCGCTACAGTACCTAAATACAGCCTCTCTCCCTTGGACTAAAGCATGAACACCAACAGCCAGAATGAGCTTTGGAGGGCACACAGCGTACTTGCTGGCATCATGCTATCTACCCTGTCAGAAGAAGTTTGTCCCACGCATTCTGAAATCTCCCAGAGGATATGTCAGTACTGCTCTCTCACGGGATGGGTTATGGACACACAAACTGCTAGCACTAGTGGCATGCTTCTGCAGCAGGATCCATGCCCAGAAACAGACCATCCCCTCTGCCACCTCAAGCCCCACACCCTTAACATTTTGGGCAAATGTGTATTTAGTTCAGCATTGTCCCATACAGGAAGCCTGAACACTGCTCAGTATGTTAAAAAACATTACCATGTAAGTGAAGTGCTTTCCTATCAGACTTGTTTGCTAAATATTGATGGGGGATCGGAGCAATGGATATCCCTGTATCAGGTCTGGATTGAGCAAGAACTGCTCCTTACTGATTTAGAGCTCCGAACTCCAAGCAGAGGGAAAAATACCACAGGTATGAGCGAGGTAACAGCCAGTGGGATCACTTCAGTGCACCAGTATACAGCCATGATGATGATGATATACGCACATTTGGCCTCCTGCAACAAAATGGAAGACACATTTAAGCATAGAAAACGATTCCTAATGATAAGAAACACATTGGTAGCTCTTAGAAGGGGCTCAAACACTCCATTGTCTGTAGCTTAACAAGTTAGGCTGAAACAGGTAGCAGAGACACGAGAATTTAAACTTGTACTTTTAAACCTTGTCCTGAAGTCCCTTGCTCAAAAAGACCTTTTCAACCACAGTGATTGTTCTAATGTGCCCCCACAAAATGTAGGGTGTGCGAAAAAGAAATCTTTCACAAGTAGGTAAGTACACAGTTTGCAATGTGCAATTACCTCTTGGCAGTTGAGGGAAGCAGATTCCACATCTAGGAGCCAAGATTTTTTAATAGTGTTTGTAGATTTGGGCACTTCTATTTTGAGTTAATTGTTTTTAAATGGATGGCCAAATTTCCCAGTGTGGATGATTAACTTGTCTGAAATTCACGAATCTTTGAGGTGTGTCCAGTAGCACACCTGAACCCAGAAACCATATCACTGAATAAAGTTCTGAACTTTTAAAAGGAACTCTTAAAGTAAAACTCTTATACCTCATTTTTGGTGACTAAGCATGTTAGAAGTCTTTAATTACTTTCCCAAATCACACAGTGCTTACCTACTATGGGGATTCCCTGGATTAGAAATGTTGTAACATGTCTTTTCATACTGTTGATCAGGCATTTCTGTAACCTAGACTCCCTTAGTTTGTACTTCCAAAATTGTTAGGAGAAGCAAGCATTCATTATCCAGCAGTAAACAGTGTTTTAAAGCTTAAGTCAGTGTTCCGTAGTTCAGAATTTGCTCATATTTAGAGTATGTGTTTATAGGATTTTATTCTAATACAACAAATGGGACTTTATTGCAAAAATAAATGGTGTTACAGTGACATTTAAAAACTGCCGTAAGGTGATATTTATAAATAGGGGTGTGTTTTCCTTCATTTTGTTGAGAAGCTTAAGAACCAGAAAACAGCCTTTGTAAGTAATTTGACCTTTTTTTTTTCTTCAGGTTTCCAGGAGATTAATTACAGTGCATGTTCTGAAAAAAATATGTCTTCAGAAACTAAAAGATATCAGATAGATCCTATTTAAGTCTCTTCCCTTAATAAATATGAGGTCACCTCATGATACAATTTATGCTGTACCACAGTAACTAAGTGCTAGAACTGACTGTGGTTAATCTGTTGCCAGAATGAAAGACAGATAAACGACTCGAAGTGAATAAAATTCACAGTACAGAATAGACACTGGTTTTGTAGAGTGGAGAGTAAATAATTTATGTGAAGTTCAAAAATACAACCATGCTTATAAATTAACTCCAACAACCACAGCCAATTCAAACAACCAAACGTCTGGAATTAAACCTGTACCTATACCTGTATCCACCCGTGATTTATGGGAACAGTCACAGAACGTTCCTTTGCCACCTCTGGACAGTTGACAGGAGACACAGTGATCTGCCCTCTCACTGAGGGCTGAAGATGCAGTCATTGACAGAAATGTTACTCTCCCATTGTGAAATAACGTAATTTCCCAGATTAGACTGATGACACAATATTAGTACAAATACCGGAAAACTGAAGACATACTTATTTGTTTAGCAAAATTATCTTTCCCAGTATTGACCAAAGTAGTGCCTAACAGCCAGGAATTCCTCTTTCTATAAACCACCAGCATTCAACTGAAAGGTAGGTCTGATATTACCTAGACAAGTAAATCAGAAGAGCTGGCAATTCTGTTTATAAATATGCGTGGCATTTTCCTCTAAAATACACTCAGCAATACAGGTCACTCAGAAGAACGGCTGTTTTTAGCATTAGAATAGCCTCTAAAGCTCTAGTTGGCTAAAATACTGTAAACTGAGCTTTCACATTTTGCCAAGAAGGCTACAAGACATTAAAGACCGAACTCTTCACCGGGTTACTCCAATTTTATTCTGGTATAACTCCACTGAAAGCAAAGGAGTTGTGCCATCGCCACCACAAATTGGAGGATATTGCATTTGCAACCCTTGCAGATCACTGCGGATCACACCACGCACAGCTGCCAACTGCGCCCCTGACGAAGAATGCCACTCAGCAACACTCCCTGAAGTATCTCGGGGCCTCAGCAGCAGTGAGCTGCGGAACCCAGAACTCCTGTCTTTCAGTCCACTGCCATCATTACCAGGCAGTGCAAGGCACAAATCCCAAATGTACAGGCCAGTTATGCATATATTTATCTTTGGCCCAAGAACGGTGTGTCATTTGCACGACGGGTTGGGTCCACGGGAGCCCCAGTCCTGGCAGCGGCACCAGCCTTCGGATGAACAGAGACCGGCAGAGAGCTCCCGTGCGAGCGACCGAGGACCGCTCGGCAGTGACCCCGCAGCGCAGCTCGGCCGGTCGGGGGCCGAGCGGCCGCTGGAGCCGCACGGGCACGCCTCGGGAGGAGGTGGCAGGACGGATCCGCTTCAGGCCCCGGGGTCGCGGAACTGCCATGGCCGGGGCCGGGGCCCGCC